GACAGCTGTCAGTCTGTTCTCTATATCTATGAGTATTTGAGTAAAGTTTATGTCGAGATCAGTGTTTTGTACTTGGCTAATGTCTTCTGAGTTTGCTAGCCTCTAGGTTTCCCTCCAACTCTTTTTTTCTCTCTGTAGTTAATTTGTTGAAGAAATCAAGTCATTTGTCTTGTAGACTTTAGGTAACCTAGATTTTGCTGACTGCCTCCCTGTAGTATCATTTAACATAGTCTTCTATCCTCTGTATTTCCTATAAGTTGGCTTTATCTAATTTAAACACCTCCCTGAAGGCCTTTTTTAAAATGTTGCCCAGTCATTTCTCTATAAAGGCCTTACATGTGGCTATGCCCTCAGCACTTACATTGAACAAGACATTCTTATCCACTCTTTAGCTCCAGGGCCCTGGGAGGCAGCAGTTTAGGGACCTACCTGCTCTGTTCCTGATTGATTCTGAGACTTTCTAGTGGACACTGCATGGCAGGCCCTGCTTTGGCTGTGGAGGTGGATGTGTTAGCAGTGTAGACTTGCATCTTGCCCTCATAGGGCTGATATTTTATAGGGGGAGAAACAAATAGCTACAGATTTAATCACAGGCTTTCATCTCTTATCTACAATTTCACACACACACCCCATTTTTCTTTTTCCTGAATTAGTTTGGTGGTAAAACTTGGCCTGACCTGATGTAAGGCTATTTATATATTTGTGTTTTTTCTTTTTCTCATTTGGTGGGAATATGAATGTGCTTGATTATGGTGTGGAGCCCATATATGTGGGATGTGTTTTGCAAAATATATTGTATATATACCATGTTATCTTTCTAACACCTGCAAGTTTTTGAACACCCAAACACCTGGGCCCAGGAAATTTGGGTAAGGGGTTAGACATTGATAATTACTCCTGGGATTAATGCTATGAAAGGCAAGGACAGGGAATGCGAGTGAGCATCAACAGTTCCTGTGATAATCTTGTGCAGTGCTATTTTTTCCCTTGACACTGAACTGCAGAAAAAGTGGGGTGGGCTTTGTAAAGGCCTTATTATATAGGAAAGTATTCCCATTTATTGATTTCAGCCGGTTCCAACCAGATTTTCTGCTTAATAGTCAAGCCTGTGTATTTCCACGTGTCAGGGGCAACTGCTTGGTGTGTATAGGGCTGGCAGAAAGATGCAGCCAAGTGGGAGATGGTCCCTCAGGCAGCTCACAGGCCAGTAAGGAGCTAGGTTAAGTCTACAAGTGGAGTCTAAAACTTTCCGTTTGGTAAACAGCCTTCCACTTACAGTCCTTGGGCTTCTGCTTCACAAGATCCTAGTTAATGCTGTGTAGTTCATTGTACAAATGTGTATTGAGTGCTTGCCTTAAATGGGGCTGTGTGCCAGGGAGGTAGGTTCTAAGATGAGTGAGATATGGCCTGTGATTCTCAGGCACAGTGTTAAGTTCAGTGAATGGGGCTCTGTGCCAGGGAGGTAGGCTCTAAGATGAGTGAGATAGGGCCTATGATTCTCAGACAGCGTTAGGTCCAGTGTTAATGGACTTCTGTGAGTATCCGAAAGGCCTACTGGAGATGTGCTTATACTGTAGGGAAATTGAGAGCACAGATCTCATTCTAGCCCTCAGGGAGTCAGAGTGTGGTGGGGAGATAGGACCAGGCCTAGTCCCAGCCCTCAGAGGATCCCTATCTTTGGTAGTCAGTGCTAAAAAGGGCTCTCCTCCATCCACCAAGGTAACGTGAAGCACCTGGTCCTCTTCCTCCACGAGGCTGTCCTGGTGCAGTATGTGGACACATTCAAGCTTGCAGTGCCCTCTCTCATCTACACCTTGCAGAATAACCTCCAGTATGTTGCCATCTCCAACCTGCCAGCTGCCACTTTCCAGGTGAGCCCCAAGCCCAGCATGGCCCTGGAGGAACTGGCTGGGGTGGGGGATGGGGCTGCAGAGAGCAGGAGCTGTATCACTTTTGGAATATCGGTGAAACTTCCTTGACCTGTTTCTTCATCTGTGAGAAATGGGAATGAAAATAGTAATAGCCAGTCACTGGGATGCTGGGATGATTAAAAGATACAATACCGGGCAAGAAGAGCCCTTGGTTGGTGATAGGCAAGCTTTAGGCTATTTGCAGGCAGCCTTGTGAAATGGTTAAAGAGCCTGGATTCGGGGGCCAGGCCATCTGGATTCAAATCACAGCTCTGTTTTCTAGCTGTGTGATGTGTGATATTGGGCAAGTCATTTAAAATCCCTGTTCCTTAGTTTTCTTGTCTTTAAATTAGACATTACAATAGTGCGCACTTCATACATGAGGATTAAGTGAAAGAATTCACATGAAGTGCTTAGACCCACACCAGGCACATAGTTTGCTGATACTGTGTGGCAGACTCATTTGTATCAACAGGTATTGATCAAGACCTCCCTCATCATGTCAACCATTCATTCATTCCTTTCTGTGTGAGGTGTTTGACATACACCAGCCATATTTTACAGCAGATGATGTCAGGGCTCAGACAGGGCAAGTGCTTGTTCCCTCATTACACAGCTAGGAAATGGGGTTGGGATGTGGGCTTGGGTGTGGCCAGGGATTTCCTTGCACAGTCAGTCTCCTGTGTACCTTCTGGGAGGTACCTCAAAGCTATTTAGTTACCTATCAGTCAGTGACCAGTGGCTGGAGATTTTTGCTGTTTTTATTGTCATCTACCCTCCCCTGTCCCCCCATTGTGCCTGGGGGCCCACAGTGGATGCTGTCCCCCATGTGCACATGTTGGGGGTCAGCAGCAGCCCTCAGTGTCTTCCACGTGCCACTCGCAGGTGACGTACCAGCTGAAGATCCTGACCACGGCCCTATTCTCCGTGCTTATGCTGAACCGCAGCCTTTCCCGGCTGCAATGGGTCTCCCTGCTGCTCCTCTTCACGGGTGTCGCCATTGTCCAGGCACAGCAAGCTGGTGGTGGGGGCCCACGGCCACTGGATCAGAACCCTGGGGTGGGCCTAGCAGCTGTCGTGGCCTCCTGTCTCTCCTCGGGCTTTGCAGGTGTCTACTTTGAGAAGATCCTCAAAGGCAGCTCAGGCTCTGTGTGGCTGCGCAACCTGCAGCTGGGCCTCTTCGGCACAGCACTGGGCCTGGTGGGACTCTGGTGGGCTGAGGGCACTGCTGTGGCCCACCGTGGGTTCTTTTTTGGATATACGCCTGCTGTCTGGGGTGTGGTGCTCAACCAGGCATTTGGTGGGCTACTGGTGGCTGTTGTTGTCAAGTACGCTGACAACATCCTCAAGGGCTTTGCCACCTCCCTGTCCATCGTGCTGTCCACTGTTGCCTCCATCCGCCTCTTTGGCTTCCACGTGGACCCATTGTTTGCCCTTGGCGCTGGGCTGGTCATTGGCGCCGTCTACCTCTACAGCCTTCCCCGAGGTGCAGCCAAAGCCATAGCTTCCACTTCCACCTCTGCCTCCGGGCCCTGCACTCACCAGCAGCCTCCTGGGCAGCCACCGCCACCGCAGCTGTCTTCCCACCGTGGAGACCTCAGCACGGAGCCCTTTCTGCCAAAGTCAGTGCTGGTGAAGTGAGGGCTGGCATCGGTGTGGGGAGACAGGGAGGGGGACTTGGTGGAGGGTGTTGGGCATCTGCAGGACTCAAGTTGCCACTGGGGCCTGGCCCCTCTGGGGTTGGAAGTCTTTTATCCCAGGTCATTGAGACTTTGGAAGGGGCATGGGGCTGGGCGGGCGTTACGTGAAACCTTCCTTGTCCACTGACCCCCCCCTCCTCTGGAGGGGTTTTTTAGAGCCACCTCCTCTACCCCAGTCTAACCCCTTTGAGGACCAGGTTGGAGGTACTGTCATTTAAGGCCTTTTTGTCTGCCCTCCTCCTTCAGCCAGAGGTGTCCTGTCTCATGCCTGGGAGAGTCCCTCCACCTTTGTAAGAACAAATTGGACAAAAATCCTATAGCTCTTTAGTAATGACTGATGCCTACCTACGGGGTTTCATTTCCTGTAGCTCCAGGCCTTCTCTCCCTCACCACCACACTGGATCATTTGCAGCTCTTTTTGTGGCCTTCAGGCAGCTTCCCTGACACTGAGACCCCAGAAAATGGGTCTTTTGTGAGCACCCAGGGAGAGGTAGGGGCGAGAGCTGAGATTTTTGCATTAGTCTGGTCCAAAAATAGGGCCTATTTGGTTTTTAGTGGTTTGAAGATTGTGTAATCAGGTAATTGATGATCCAGGGTGTGGGAAAAGCAGGGAAAGAGGTCCCTGAAGTGGCTAGGTCTCATTGAATGTAAATCAGTCAGTTGCCAGATGCAGGGTTCTTTTCTGAGACATCTTGAGAGAAAAAATAAAGCTGACAACCACACTCTTGCTACTCCACTGGCTGAATGAGGCATCCTTACTTCATTAGTGGGGGGACCAGTCTTAAAGTTGCTGAAATAGGGAACCTGCCCCATGCACTTCTCAAAGCTTATTAATCCCTTAACTGTCTCCTGTGTGTGCGCACACGCACAGGTGCACTCGCGTGTGTGTGCACGCGTTCCTGGTTGGGAGAAGCCTGGGCTGTCTTTGCTATGTGTAAATAGGGTTGTTGGATCTTTATTTTTGATTAACTTGTTCTGATTTTTTTGTTTTTCTAAGGAACTGTAATGAACAAATGTCAGGATACCTAATGCCAAATAAAGATGTTGTATTTATTTAGTCCATGTGTAGCTTTCTGACCCAGGGGACCTGCTCTCTACACATGGGCTCTATTACTAACCCCAGGATTACCAACCTCACTACTGTTGCCCTCACTTGCTCAGGATGCCTGCCTGCCAGCCCACCCCAGCTTTCTGTGTTTTTCTTTCCTCCCCATTTCCACCACAGGTTGCTCACCAAGGTGAAGGGTTCGTAGCCGCTGGGACTGAAGACGCTGGCCTGGCCTCATTCTCCCTTCTTGCCCTGGCCCAGCCAGGACCAAACTTTGATCAGTATTAGGGGAGGAGGAAGGCAGACACTCACCCTGGTTCCCCTCACCCCCATGCAGGGCTGACTCTGGTAAGGAGGGCCCAGACAGGACCCACCTCAGCCTCCAGCCCCTGCTGCCCCCATGTTCCTGCCACCTTCACAGTATTTCTTAGGTGAGTTTTTACAAATAAACTATTTTGCATCTTGCTGCCTTGGGTTGGAAAGCCTCAAAAATGCAAGGGAAGGAAAGCACTCTGGCCTGGTGAACATGATCCACTGAAAAGCTTTTATTAAAAACCAGGACAGTTCAGTCCTGCTGCTTGGTTCGGGAGGCCTCGGCGTTGGCCCGGAGTACAGCCCCTGGGGATGGGTAGGGGCGTTGCTGGAATAGGGGTCCGGCAGCTGTTGTATCTGCACCTGTCTTAGCCTCGTTCCGCTTGGGGAGTCCTGTTGACCATGTGCCTCTGGTGGTGACAAGAGGGTCAGGGGGTGGGAATGTGGGATGTGGCAGGCAACCCCCTCCCAAACAAACTGACGAGTCGGGGAAGGAGACAGGCAGAAAGGAATGGTCACCAGTGCAGGGAATCCAGGAAAGAGAAGGGCTCAAGAGGCGTGTCACTTACCGGGGTGCATCTGAGTACGAGCTGGGGTCCATGGGGTCTAACTCTTCATCCTTCCGGCTTGCAACTGTGGAAGGAGGTGGCAGAGTAAGGTTTTCAATGGAGGCACAAGGGACCCCTGATTGCTGAGCTGCCCCCAATGCAAGAAAAAATGGAGCCCACAGGTGCCATGGTTGCAGCACCTTCTCCCAAGCCCCAGGTTCAGGGACTTGCATGAAGAGAAGTAAGGGCTTCTGTACACGGTGTACCTCTGGTGCCTTGCTGCCTCACCCCAGTCCTGGCCCTGCTCAACTTACCCTTCTTGCTCTTGGGGTAGGGAGCTAGCTCCTCTCGGCGATGGTGGCGCCGTTCTTTGGCCTCTTCTCTGTCAACCTTGTCATACCCACGGTCCCGATCCCGATCCCGATCCCTGTCCCGCTCTCTGTCTCTTTCCACCTTGTCATAGCCACGCTCTCGGTCTCTGTCTGACTTCTCATGGCCCCGGTCGGATTTCTCGTGGCCCCTGTCGGACTTCTCATGGCTCCGATCAGACTTCTCATGGCTCCGGTCCGATTTCTCATGGCTCCGGTCCAATTTCTCCTCAGCATCTAGGGACACAAAAGCCTTGAAGTGACCTTCCTCTTACCACCTCAGGACCCAGTAGCCTTTGCCTTTGACAGCCTCTTGCCTGGGGCTGGGTTTGCCTGTCTTACCTGCCTCTCCTGGATCCACTATCATTTACTGAGCCCTTTCTGAGAAATGCTAGAAGCATTTGAGGCACCCTTGGACCTGCCAACTCACCTGCATTACTGCTCCTGAGCTTCTTAGCAGATTTGGTAACAATGGAGTTGGAGTCATGTGGGGAGAGCCAGGACACGAGGTCTGTGTCCACATTCCAGTAGTAAGGGAGCCCGCTGAGGAGCAGCAGTGGGAAGGAGGGAAGAAGTGTCAGCACAGATGTCCTCCCTTTGTAGCCTCAACTGCTCCCCAATCTGCCTATACCCACCCCATGTCAGGACGCCCCAGGGAGGGCCCCCAGATCCCTTCCGTTGTATCCCCCATTTCCCCAAGGCCAGGAACAGCACAGGAAGGGTGAAATAAGTCAGCTTCCTCTCCCCCAGGTCTCCAGGCTTACCAGGAAGGGTCAAACACCTTGTACCAGCTTGGTGGCAAGCCCTCCAACCGGGTGGCCTCATAATCCACAGGATCATCATCATAGTCCTCAGCAATTATCTCTTCCTCTGGTTCTGCCAGGATAGGCAGAAGAGGAGAGCAGTAAGTACTTGGGATTCTCATCCTACAGTTTGAGCCTGGAGAGACGCTCACATTCACATGGACACGTGTGTGTATGCCAGGTCTCACCATCCATGGCACATAGCACTCACATTCCAAGTCTTAGCTAAATAGCGAACTTACCAAACATGTACATACCTAACTGTGCTGTTTCTGGCTTCATATAAGATATACTGTTACCCAAGCCTATTTGGTTTCAGAGTTTAGATAGGGACTTATCCACATTCTTTCGGTTCCTGAGTTCAGGAGTACATAACAGCACACTACCAAAATCTATTTGGATAAAATTAGTTGAAACAGCAAGAGGTGTACCTGAAAATGTCCAAATCTATTCCGCTCCCAAGCTTGGCAAGTAGGGGATTTCTGACTCCTGTATTTTTAGTAGCAAGAATTTGGATAGCAAGGAATTTATCCAAACACTGCTCTGAACCTCTTCAGTTCCTGATGCCCGATGCATACAGTTGTCAGTTAACATCAGTAAAATAAAAAAGGTATATGTTGTCAGCTCTACTAGGCCCCCAGTGGGCCTATCATGGACTTCAGCTGTGGATATAATTAACAATAAAATGTGTATGTCAACAATAGCATAGTGCCTGTCACACTAAGCCCAAAAGAGATGTCAGCTATAATCGTTATCGTTAATTAGATATATACTATCAGAAAAAAATAGGTGCACAGGGCCTGGCACCTAAGAGGCTTAACATAATGTGCATCCAGGCACTTAATACAACCAAAATACACGTCAGCTAGTGATATGGTGAACAATAACATATATGCCAGCAGCATAGTGCCTGGCACCACAGTAGGTCTGGAAAAATGCTATCAGTATGGGTAAAGAACACCACAGTATTAGCATCCTGCCAGTGTCCTTGGCACACAGGAAACTGCAGTAGGTGACAGCTATCCTATTAGATACTCTGTTGTAATTACTTCCATGGTTGGACTGACTCTGGCATACAGTAGGCCCAATTAGGTATCAGCTGTATGAAATGTCTATGTCCCCCCGGCTCCCTCCTTCCCCCATGCTTGGCACCCAGTAGGAATGGGTGTCAGGAATCCATATGGTTAACAATGAAATGCTTGCCACCCCACTGCTTGGTGCACAGTAGGCCCAAGCACCGTGTCAAATAGCAGTTATCAACAAAGTGCCTGTCATGCCTGGCACGTGGTAGGCCCATCTGCTCTTAGCTCTCACCGGGCTCTAGATGTTTGAGGATGCCTCTCTTGGCCAAGCGGGTCTGCAGAGCAACGGGCAGCGGCATAGCGAGTAGCAGACAGACCTAGAGACGGACAGATCGACTAAAAACCAGCTCAGATGAAAACTTGAATTGATCCAGTAACCAAGCGCCTCCCCTCAGCATGTGCTCATCTGGATCCCCACCACCTGCACCAGTAGCTGGGGAGACGAAAGCTGTGCTCAAAGGTGGAAGAGATAAAGTGGCAATATCACCAAAACTCTCACCAACCCTCCTCTCCAGGCCAGGCGCTCCAGAACCCAGTTCCTCTCCCAGGCCCAGGCTCCGCCCATCGCCGAAGGTCTAACGCGGCTCCCCCACGCCCCAGAAATGGGCTCACCCAACGTCCCCCAAAGACTGCCGGGTGGGAGAAACCAAAGAGAGGATGGGGGTGCACAATGGAGCACCTCCTCCAGTTCCAAAATATGCATGCCCCTCGACGTTACCAATAGAGTCACACGGGTCGTGGAAAGCTGTCAACCGGGCCGCCTCGCTGTCGTCGCCGCTAGAATCACCAGGATCACAGGACTCTTTTCTATCAAAGCACAAAGAGAGATCCTCTCTCCCCAAGACTCGAAATAAACTGGGCAATGCTCCGGCTGCGAAAACAGATGACGCGTCCTAGGTAGCCAATGAGAGTGCACTGTTGACCTGACGTAGGACGCAGCAACCTAATTGTGGCCGTGGGATAGGTGGGAGCACTAGCGCCGGTGTGCGTTTACAGTGGGGGCGTGGCCCAGCCTGGGCTTAGCCGGACTGCGCGGCTGGACGCCGGCGCCATGGAGGAGTACGCTCGGGAGCCCTGGTACGACGATCGGCACAAGCCTCGGGACTGTCCCTGCGGCACCATGGCCAGCTGTGGGAGGCGGGCGGGGGAGGCACTGGCCCCACAGCGCTAAGGGCCAGACTCCGGAGACGCTTAGTTGTCTCTTTGCGCTCCCCTCCACTTGGTCCCGCCCACTCGGGCTCCGTTAAGAGGGGCCACAGCCATGTTCCTGGAGGAGAAGGTGCGGTGCAGGACGAAGCACTCCACGTTTCCCCTGACCCCGTATCTCCCAGCCCGTCTTTAACAAAAAGAGACGCGCTGGTTTAATCCACTCCCGCCGAGGGGTGGCACGGTGTTGAGCGGAAATCCCCAGGGCTACCACGCGTGGTTTTTCCCAGGTTGCTTTAGTGAGTGGGGGAGGGGCCTGGATGAGCCTATTGTGAGCAAGGAGGTGGTGCTGGGTTCTCCCCACGACCCGCTCTTGGTTTTTCCCAGTTGTGAGAGGTTAAAAAGAGGGAAGAGGGCGGGGCTTGGACCCGTTCATTTTCTAAGAAGGGGGTGGGAAAATACTAGCCAGGTCACACTTCTATAGTGATTATTTAAACATGCCAACTCTTTGCGCATATCAGCTCATTTAATCTTTGATAGTAAAACCGTTGGCTGATTCCTTGGTTAGCTGCAAAGGGGAGGGGCAGAGAGGGCGATACATTTCCCTTTTTGCACTATTTCTTGCTTAAATGAGGGGAGACATAATCTCATCTGAAATGCTATTTCCCATTCGAGTGACTTGATTTCTCCCAGTTGGAAAGAGTCCATGTGGCATGGCATAGGAGGAGGGCTCAAATTAACCCCATCCTCCCCTTGACACTTGCAGCCCATGGCGAATTGTGGATGATTGCGGTGGAGCCTTCACTATGGGTGTCATCGGTGGTGGAGTCTTCCAGGCCATCAAGGGCTTCCGCAATGCCCCTGTCGTGAGTCCTGGCTTTCCCTGGGTGGTACGGGGCTCCTGCCCTGCCAGCATGGGATACTGCTCTGAAAACTGCTTGGAGCTGCCAATTACATGCACTTAATCATTTTGGTGCCTGCCTGCTTACTATGTGCCAGGCCTCACTCCAAAATCTGGGGTTTTGGGGAGCTGTAAACATGGCCTCATTCCCGAACCCAACTGGAGCTCCTCTGTGAAAATGCTGTGCTGTGAAAATGGTAATCACTGTCGACATAAGAACATTCAAACCTGTGGAAAAAATTTATAAAAGTTCATTAGAGTTTATTTGAGCCAAATAGAGGACATGCCTGGAAGCAAGATCTCAACAGATTGAGGAAAATGCTTCCCAGAATGACAGTTTGCAGTTTTATACATTTGGAATTAAGGAGTGAACATAGGGAAGATTACATGAATGTAGGAGAAAGCAGAGCAGGGAAATCTGTATGATTGGATTACAGGATGGTTAACAAGATTAGTGCTCTCTTGAGGGTGATTACGATTCTGAGGGGTCTGAAAAAGAAGCATTTCAAAGGTGTGTGAACCTAGATGCACAGAAAAAATTAACAGGGCTTGCTTAAGGCAAAGATAACCTCTTTACTAGGGAAGTTATAGGCCTGACGCATGACTAACCATCATGACCTCCAGTTAGGAATTTGTGATCAATCAGATCAGCCTGTGTGGTTACTTACTGTTAGTTTTTATTGCAGAGCCCTGTTTTTCATCCACATCACCAAATTCTATATGTGTGTGCAGAGCCAGACAGATTTCACCTAGAGGCAGATTCTGGGTCAGAAACCTGGATAGAAGGAAGTGACAGTTTAACTAGCAGAGGGAAGACAGCCTTAAATTTAAAGTGTTTTTAATTTAACATAAACAATTCTTTCTCTTTCCTGACAACTCCCTCCTGGAGATCTCATCAAATGCCATACTTTGAATGCCATCCATTTGCCAAGGTCTCAGCAATTTATGTATCTCTCCTCATCCCTCCCCTCAACTCCTGTAATTCTTTCCTGGATCTTTACCCAAGTTTCTCCCTGTCATCTTAAGCTCTCAGCACAAATGCCCCTTTCTTAAAGAGGCCTTTTCTTATTCCTCTCCCGGTATCATATCTCTTTATCCTGTTTCCTCTAGGATGCATATTGCCATCTGAAGCTGATTTGCTTATCTGTACCCTTGCCCAGGATCTGTCTGTCCCACTAGAATGTGAGCTATGAGAGGGCAGGGACCAGGTCTACTTTGTTCACTGCTTTATGCTTGCATACAGCATGGTGCCTGGGACATAGGTGCTCAGTAATCATTGAATGAATGGATAGATGGATGATAGCTTCTCAACCCAGCTTTCAGAATACTTGTGTTGGGGTACTCCCCAGTCCTCTAATTCTTGGCTCCATCTCCACATCTCCACCTCTGAATACCCCTGACAGGACTCCCACCCCCTTCCCTCTCTGAAAATCTAAAAACCCTGTCTGTCAGTGGCCTCAGCCCTGTTCTGACTCTCCTCCTCACTTTCCCCAGGGAATTCGGCACCGATTGAGAGGTAGTGCCAATGCTGTGAGGATCCGAGCCCCTCAGATTGGAGGTGAGAGGCCTGGGGAGATAGCAGATGTGACGGCAAAGTTGGTGGTGGTTGTTGCTTGGGGTCTAGTCCTCAAGTTGGGGGTCCACATTTCAGCCCCAACTCTGCCTGGGACTTCCTGAGGGAGTGACGTTTCCCAACAATTTAATATGGGTGAGTTCTGGAGTTTTTTAAGTCCAGACCCTAGCTCTTTCCTGATGTGTGACCTTAGAGTAGTGGCTTAACCTTTCTGAACCTCATCTGTAACATGGGGATGACGATAGCAGTAACCACCAGAGTCATTTTGTAACTTTGTAATTTACATAGCATTTACTAAGTGCCAGTTGCTCTGCTAAGCACTTTAATAATATTAACTAATTTAAAATGTTAGAAGTCTCCCTGGTCAGTGTTGCTCGGTAGTTAGAGCATCAGCCTCCCCACCAAAGGGTCACTGGTTTGATTCCCTGTCAAGGTTACATACCTGGGTTGCGGGTTCGCTCCCTGCCCCTGGTCGAGGAGCATTTGGGAGGCAACCAATTGGTGTGTCTCTCTCACATCGATATTTCTCTCTCCCTTTCACTCTCTCTCTGAAAAGCAATAGAAAATACATCCTCAGGTCAACATTAACAATAAAATGTTGCCCAACCAGCATGTCACAGCGCTTGAGCATTGACCTATGATCTAGGAGATCGTGGTTCGATTCCCGATCAGGGTACGTGCCCAGATTGCGGGCTCAATCCTCAGCAGGGGGTGTGCAGGAGGCAGCCGATGAGTGACTCTCATCATTGATGTTTCTATATCTTTCTACCTCCCTCTCAGAAATCAATAAAGGCATATTTAAAAAAGAAAAAAAAAAGACGTCAAATAGCCCACAGTACCTAGATCAGAAGCCAGGACACAACAAGGCCTCAGTAAACATTTTGACTATCATGTTGTTAACTGGCTTTCCTAACCTGTTTCCTTTTCACTGAAACCAAAATCAGAATTCCAACTCTGTGTAGTGGTTTATGAAGATCAAAGTTGCTCTGTTAAAAGCCATATAGAAGATCAATGTGCTTGTAAACACTTGTCACCTCCCTATGAAGGAGAAGGGAATGGCCATTGCAATTAGAGACAGCTTGAAGAAGTAGTAACACAGGGGAAGATGGGGGATATCTCCCAGGAATTTGCTATCTGTTTTTGCATCTGGATGTTTCTCCCTCTTTGCCAGAGCATTCAGGCCTTGTAAGTCCTCAGTCCCTGAGCTCTGGATTCTTGGGATTCCCCAGGAACACTAATTGGACCTCTGTCCTCCTGCAGGTAGCTTCGCAGTGTGGGGGGGCCTATTCTCCACCATCGACTGTGGTCTGGTGCGGCTTCGGGGCAAGGAGGATCCCTGGAACTCCATCACTAGTGGAGCGTTGACTGGGGCTGTGCTAGCTGCCCGCAGTGAGTGCCCCCGACCCCGACTCTGGCCCCAGCCCCTTCCACCCTGTTCTGCCAGCCTTCATCTCTCCCTGCCTCCTTGCTCCTCCAGGTGGCCCATTGGCCATGGTGGGCTCAGCAATGATGGGGGGCATCCTGTTGGCCCTCATCGAGGGTGTTGGCATCCTCCTCACTCGCTACACTGCCCAGCAGTTCCGCAACGGTGAGTATCTGGTGAAGCTAGCCAGGGAGAGGTGGGAAATGCTCTGCCTAGCCTCCTTTGCTCACGTTTACTTGATTCTCCCCTCTCTAGCACCCCCGTTCCTGGAGGACCCCAACCAGCTGCCCTCTAAGGAGAGTACCCCAGCCTCAGGCTATCCCAGCTACCACTGAGGAAGTGACCGCCTGTCATCACCATCGTGGGAGCTCCTCCTTGGTTCCCTCCCCGATGATCTACCTCGAAGGGAGGGCTGGCTCCCAGTTGGCCCTGGGACCCTCCAGAGAGGGCCTCTACTCTCTGTTCCCTTGTCCCAGGGTGGGGGTGGGGCACCCAAGCTGCCCTGATGAATGGGTCCTCTTCTCTCAGGGCACCCCAGTCCCATACTCACATGTAACAAGCTCTCACCCTAGCCCCTTCCCATATCGCCCTGATGAGTATTTAAAGCCAGTTTTGAAATGCCTACATATGTACTCATTAAGCTACCTATGGGAGCCCCTCCTTGAGACAAGAAGCGGAGCCCTCTTCAGGGACTCAGAAGCCCTAGGATTTGGAGTCCCACAGAGAGTGGGCCTTAGTCAATGTCTGTAGGATGAATGAGCAGGAGGGGGAAATGAATCAAGATGTTAATAGGTACATGAATAAGCATGTGTGGGAGCCAAGTGATGAATCATAAGTACATAGAGGAATAGACTTGGGAAAAAAGTGAGGAAACACAGGGATTGCTGGGGTGGAGGGGGTGGTTCTGCACTTTGCATGCCTGACCCCTCCCTCCCAGGCCTCATTGCCAAGTCTGGGAAATCTGACCTCACAGTGAACTCTGTCATTCTGGATACCAATCACCTCACTGGTGTGAAGATAATCCCCCTCCAATATGACCTCACCATGGACCTGGGAAGAAGGGTCAGGGAGACCCAGCTTCCTTAAAGAAGGGGCCAGGGTCAGTCTCTTTTGCACCACAGAGATACTTCTGCTCTTTGTTGCTCAGTGTTGTCAGTATTTTTTTAAGGGGAACCACAAAATAAGCAGAAATGAGTTTTCATTTTGGGCCAGGGGAGTTATGGGAAAGAGATTTTTCTGGATGGACATTGGCCCCAAAAGCTGTCTTTTCCGTGTAAACCCCTGCATGGGTGAGGCAAACATCTCAATTGGGGTGCAAGTGCTCCAATGCAAATGGCCTCAGGGGAGACAAAAGCTGTCCCTTTTGTGCAAGCCATGGCAAAGAGGTGGAAATGCCCTCTTTTATACAAAGTCATTCCCTGGGGGTGTAAATGCTGAGTCCCAGGGTTTCCCAAGACTACAACAGGAACCTGGTGGTCCTCAGTGGTAGCAGAACTGCAACACTGCCTATTTGATTGACTCAGTGCCAGGCAGAGCCCAGCCAGCCCATGAAGACCCTGGAAGGGCAGGATGATGGTGGCAGGCACTGTGCACACAGTGCTCTCAGGGCCTCAGCAGGGCCCCAGCCTCGAACTGGAAGTTCACACCCAGGCCTGTGTAGTGTGGGGGCTCCATTCAGACCCAGGGTATCCCAGACTGCAACCCTTGTATTTCTGGGCCACTTCCTTTGGTTCTGCCCTTCCTCAGCTCTAGGCCACATCTCCCCATATTTCCATACCCCACATTGGTCCTCTCAAGCACCATCCCATTAGCTCTGGTGAGCCTTTCCCTTCTAGGAGTCCTCAGGTTCCACCCCTGATCTCCCAAAGCTGCTGTGGTTCCCATAGCCCCTAGTGTCTTCAGCCCTGCCCTCTAAGATTCCTGCAGGCCCTATCTCCTTTGTATATCAACCCAGGCTCCTCTGAGGCCCCATCCCTACTGTATCTCCCTGGTTCCCTCCAAGTGGGCCCCGCCCCCACAGCCCCTTAGATCTGCAGCCTCCCTTTCCTCAGCCTCTAGATCTCTTCGCATCTTCTGCCTCCCCCCTCTTCAGGTACACCCAAACCCCAGGCACTCCACCTCTCCCACCCCAGGGACCCGTTCACCATCCTGGCTCTGGAAGGTGGCTGGACCCACGGAGCAGTGGAGCAGTTTATGGGGACGTGCGGGGCCTTCAGCTTCAGCTCCTCCACTGCTGGCTGGGGTGGAGCGAGGAGGGGAGGACCACTACTGGGTTTAGAACCAGAGGCTCCAGGCGTTGGGTGAGAGGTGGGGGGACTGGAGTCCCCGGTGTCACCCGGCTCCTAGTTGCCCAGCCTGGAGCGCCCAGGTCCTCAGGCCCCACCCCCTGACCAGATAGATGGTTGGCCTACTTTGCAAAAGAAGGGAATGCGGTCTCAGACCCCTGGTGGTTTCCACAGGCAGGGACTGCAGAGCACAGGAGAAGGCAGGAGTGAGGCAGAAATGGATGAAGAGAGAAAGAAACTGAGAGAGACGCATAGGGAGATAGAGACAGTAATGGAGACGTACAAAGAGATGCAGGCAGAGAGAGAAGAGAGAAAGGAAAAGAGACGAGGACAGAGTAGGAGAAAGAGACTGGGTGATGGTCAGAACCACAGGAAAGGGAGGTAGTCAGGAGTAATTATGTACTCAAGTGTGTTGATGAGTCTGTTTTGTCCTAGAATATCTGAGCAGCTCTGAATACGGAGGACGTGTCTGTCTGGTCCAGGACAGAACCCACTCCTAACAAGGTGGTTCTGGCAGGCAGGAACAAGTCTGCATTAAGGCGCTGCTCTTCGTGGTCTTCTAGAAAAAGACTCCAGGACATCAGAGTACCCAGACTTGGCTCCCGGGCTCCAGGAGGCTCTAGGGTCTGTCATTGGTGGCACTATGAGCATTTGGGGCTGGAGAATTCTTGATGGGGAGCCATCCTGGGCACCGGAGGATGTTGAGAGGCATCCCTGACCTCCACCCACTAGATGCCAGTAGCAGCCCCTCATCGTGACAACCGAATATGTCTTCGGACATTACCAGATGTCCCTGGGGGCCAGCTGAGCGTTCCTTAGCCCGGTGGCTTATTTTCTATTTGCTGCTGCCACACAGAGACTGGAAGGATTTTGAGGGAGAATAAAAACAGTTTCACAAACTCCCTTTCAAGACAGAGGATGACAGTTCCATTTCCATAACAGGCTATGCCCTCAGTGTCGTTCTAATGAAGACCCCCAGAGGCACAGTACCCTCCGTGCCCTGCCTCCTGCCTCCATCCAGTTGCTGTGTTGTCATTGTGATAAGACCCACTCTGGGCTCAGCAGTGATTTTTCTGGAAGACTGCGAGAGAGCTCTCAACTGCTCTCAATGCTGCCCCAATGGGTTTCCATTCCAGAGGGTGGGGAAGTGGGCCGGTGGGCAGGGCAGTGTCTCATCTGACCACACATGCTGTCAGAAACTTGGACGTTCCTTACCTATGAGCTCTCTCTGCCAAGTGTCCCGAGATCTTCAGCACCTTCCTCGAAGGACCGATGCCCACCCACGCTCCTCGCGAGGTTGCCCAGGCTGTGTTCGCTGCATGCTCTTCCTCGGTATATTCTCATCTTCTAATTGGACGGAATTCAACAAAAGTCTACTTACACCTCTTTGCACTATGGTTAAAATAGTAAAAAAGTGGACTCAAAAAAAAAAAAGGAAAGAAATGCAGGTATGGCTCTGGGAAGAACTTGAGCATCAGATGGAGGCAAACACAGGAGTAAAGTCAAGGTGACACTAGAGCTGTGAACTGGTTGAGGGGCTGGACCAACAGAAGGCTGTCAGGCCAGGCCTCTGCAGGCCTTCTGCCCAGTTAAGTTCTAGCTGAGGGACCTCAGAGCGACACAAAGGTGCCGATCTGCACTCTTGCATTCATCCCTCACCCCCACTCTGGCTGGCCTCTCATCTCTAATTTAATCCCGTCTGCTTCGGATAAGGATTTCAGCTGCTCTCCCTCAGATCTTCCTTCCTGTCTTCCTCCTGGCCTTACTCCCTTCTTTCTTGATCTCAGCCTTTCTTCCCCATGTTTTTCCTTTGATCTCCCCAGCTGGTAGCTCTCTTTTCCTCTGGCCTCTGGGTTTGCCATCCACCTGTCCGCATGGTTGGGGGCTGGGGTATATTTGGTGGGTTACAGAGGTGGACAAAATCCGGGAAGAATGGGGGGGTCCAACCTGGACAGTGAAGTGGGACAATCACCCTATACACCTCAGGCAGAGGCCCTGAGAGGGTGAGGAGAGAGACCTGGGGAAATCAAAGGCAGGCAGAGAGAGGGAGACGAAGATACCAAGAGAAAGAGAAGTCAGAGTTTACAGAGACATCAAAGAAGAGACAGAGATGCCAAGAAAGAGAGACACCAACAAAGAGAAGAAGCAGTACAAGTAAGCAAGGGAAAACAGAGAATGAAATGAGGAAATAGAGATCACAATTGGGAGAGGCAGAGAGACAGGAAAAAATGGAGGGGTAGAGAGTGTCAGAATAAGAAGTGAAAGAGAGAGTTGAGCAGAGAGAGGGAGAGAGAAAGTAAGAAAGATGAGAGTTGGGCGCACACATCTTACCCTGAGTCTGGGAGTTGCTGTCTGAGTGTTTTTATGTCCTCTGTTCTCTTAGTGGCAGTTGGACAACAGGGCCTGACTGAGCAGGAGAGCTCTGAAGTCCCCACCCCAACCATCCAGGTCATCGAGGTGATTAGGAGGGTGCCTGCCCTGAGGATATACCTTTAGAGATCTGTGCCCTGATGTTGGGAACTGGGAGCCATCTCAAGTCCATTTAGTGTCAATCTCTGGAGTGGACCAATGGGGGCCATTTCTGGGGAATCTTCAGCTTCATCACATTGCCTGCAATCATATGGAAGAGGAAGAATGTACAATGATCATTTTTTAAATTGCACTTATTGGAATGACATTGGTTAATAAAATTATATGGGTTTCAGGTGTACAATTCTATGATACATCACCTGCATATTGTATTGTGTTCACCACTCCAAGTGCAATGATCACTTCTGAGGTGACAGAGAAACCTTGCTTTCATTACCCTCATTATATATATAAAGAAAGTAACTTACCCACAGTTATACTGCCTGAAAGTGAGAAAGCTGGGCTTTATATCCTTATTTATTGTGCTTAGAGTTTCAGAGATGTCATTTGCAACATAATTTCTAGGACAACACATTATCAGTCATGATTATGAGTGTCATTGGAAGGGTTTCAAAGGCCATTGCCACAATTTCTGAGCCCCCTTTGTTAAAGTAATTTCAAGGACAAACTTATCTTTTTTTATTTTTTATTTTATTTTAGAGAGAGAGAGGAAGGGAGAGAGAGAGATAAAACATCAATTTGTTATTCCACTTATTTATGCACTCACTGGTTGATTCCTGCATGTGCCCTGACTGAGGATCAAACCCACAACCTTGACATATGAAGATGATGCTCTAACCACCTGAGCTACCCAGCCAGGGCCAAGGACAGATTTATCTTAATGGAGATCAAGTCGGCAACAATTCTGGGCATTCACACAGGGCTCTGTGTTCATACAGGAACTCAAGACAAAGTTTCTCACTTGAATAC